AAAAAAAAAAAATAAACACATCATGGTAAAATTAATACCTTCTCAGCTTCGCATCGAAGCTAAAAACAAAATTGGCGGGTATGGAGATCGATCAATGAAAGTTAATAAAATAAAAGCCATCCTAATATAAACCTGAGACTCACCCCAGTTCATTTTTTAAAATGCTATAACTTCTGAATTACTAGTAAAATGGTACTTTTTACTATTATTAATTGTTTAATAATTTATTTTAAGTATTCGTTAATTATCTTCTTATTATAATTAAGTGTATTTAATAAAAATTTTAGATAGAACTAATCGAATATTTTTTGAAACCATTCGCTAGCCTATTCGAATATTTTTTAAAACTATTCGATAGTTTAAAATATTCGAAAATGCCCATCACTAAGAGAAAGATAACATTTCTCAGTAACAAATTCATAGCTACCCACGAAGAGCTGTTTTTAGTATTATCAGTACGAATAAACAAACCTATTTTCTATACTTCAAAATACTGTGATTATAATAAAGAAGATGGTACAACTATGACCAAGGTAGTATTAAATTGAAATTAGTAGAAGTGCTCAATCGTTTTAATGTAGGAAACTAAGTTAAAAAGATTAGTTACGATTGGGCAATCAAATTTATTATAAATTTTCTATGAAATGGAGAATTGAAAGTAACAGTGTCATCTACTATTTTACAATTATTTTCATGATTTCATCACTCAGTTTTTAAAACTTAATATTTTGTAAACTTGTTGGTCGCTAAAATCACTATTCGTCGAATATTCCTCTTTCTACAAAATTTCTATAACAAAACCGGAGCGCACTCCCCATTCCCGCAGACCTTTTGTTCAATTCATTTAATTTTAATTTGTGTGTTGAATTAATGTGAAATTTATATATTATATATATTTATATTGATATAAACAGATTATATGAAATTTAATACAATAACCATAGACCTTAAAATGAGTTTCATATTACACGAGATTTGTGAAACGAACCACATAGATTTCTAATTGAGACGCAATGATGGCAGGATATGAAAAAAAAAAATAATGTAATATTAATAAAATATTGCAACACATCGTGTTACTATATAAAGCAAAAGAAAACATTATGGGGTAGAATTTGAAATGTTTCCAAGTTCCAAGATTTAATTTACCTAATTCATGGTGGTCTCGAGTAACCTGATCCCATCGATCTATTAAGCAGGAATCTAGGTAACGGTAATTTTATAAGAAGTAAAATATTCATTATGTTAGAAATTTCTTATTACTTAAGAGATGGCTAATTATCGTCAATAATATCAATCAAATTTTAATGCAAAATTTCTTTTTTTAATTAACTGAGAGATTAATTAATTGTTGATCACTAATTTTCTATTAAAATAAAAATTATTTTTAAAAGAAATATCACACCATTTTACATAATTTGTTTTAAGTATACATAGATAAACAACTGCAAATAAAAATATAAAAATCAATGTTATAATAATTTTATCTATAAAACAGTCATTCACAAAAAAAAAAAAAATAAATAAATAATAACATAATTTCATTTAAAATTTAAATTAAATATTTACAATTATTACAAAACCCTCACATTATAATACAAGTAAAATATAATATTTTCATGAATTATAGAAATAATTCTATCAAGTTGAGCCAAAATAAAATTTTCATTCCTTTTAAAACATTTATATGCATAAATTTCTTTTTATATTAAAAATTATCAAGTTCAACTAGATAATTTACTTAAACACAACAAGTATTCTACAGTTATTAAAGTAGATATAATAATAAAAATTATTGTTAAATTACCACAAATATACAATTTTCATTTAAATAATCATAATATAATAAAAATATTTCTTTATAAGTCCAACTTTGGTCTGTACTGTAGTTTTAAGGGTGGCTCTCGGAATCTCCATCTGGTTACGTAAACAAATTTTAATGTGTGATCTTTGCCCAGTAATTCATCATTACACAAAATATCAATCTGCTTGTTTAAAAAAATAGCACAGTGAATTTAACACAGAGTTAAATTTAATTTTTAAAACTTACATCACGATATTTTTCTGTTCCATCAAGTACCTTAACTGCAATGAATTTTTTTAAATGTGTAATAGTAGCTTGAGATGAAACTCTGAGAAACTTTTTCTTTAAAGACTTTAAATGAGATGCAACACATTCTAAGCCTATATTTACCTGTAAATATAAAGAAACATATTTGCTATCAATTATTTATTTATATTTTTTATGTAATACATATACAAAGTCATTCGTTTATCATGAACCACTTAAGTAATCTAACAATAAAAAAACAACATGTTTTTAATTAATTTTTTCAATTTATGAATCATAAAGTATTTTTTATGTTCATCTTTTATACCTTAGAAAAATGTCAACATTATCTTTTAAAATGGTAATACACATAATTAATTGAATTGTTTAATGATTTAATTAAGAAAATTACTAGGCAATAACATTTTTTTTGTTTTTCATTACTCAGCTTCACTCCTCTTTTCGCTTAAATATAAAAATGTTAATAATATCTGAAATAAAGATCAGAAATTATTATTGACTTATTGCTTATTATTTATTGACTAGTAATTTTCTTAATTAGATTATTTCCTATTGTATAAGCTAGTTAAATATGTATGTTGCCATTTAAAAAAATAAAGTTGATACTCCTTTAAGTTATATCAGATTCAAAAAATTATTAGCTAAAAAATCAAGAAATGAACAACCAAAAAAAAGCAAATTTGTTTTTCAATATTGCATTTATTTTGAAAGTAATCGAGTGGTTTAAGACAAAGCGATCACTCTATATATTAGTAGCTATTTTAATTAATCTTTATTTTAATCAGTATAATTTTTATACTATAAATATTGTAATATTTTGTATTAAAATGTCAAATGATAAATTGAAATTATGAAAAAAAAATCTATTAAACTAATCAAATTTAATTTAATTATAAAAGTTAAGTGGGAAAAATATAAGTATTTTATTTACCTGTTCATCAGTTCGATGGAAGTCAGAATCTGCAGCTGCTTGATCCTGGGCCATTTTTTCATCATCAATTTCAGTACCTGCTGGAACTTCTTTAGGATATGGTAAACCACGAATTCTATAAAACTCTCTCTCTCTTTTAATTTCATCTAAAAACAAATAAAAAAGTTAAAAATATAATGTTCCAAATTTGTTAAAAAAAAAAAAAAATACCTAATTGGAGCCCAGGTACTAATTTAAAAACAATATCTTGCATTGTTCGATCAAAACTTATATATTGCAAAGGGTGTGATTGATGTATAACAATTTGACAAGTAGGACAACTATTATTTTCTTCCAAATGTTTTACCAGACAACTTTTGCAAACTATAGATAGTTAATGTGCATTTAAATAAGAGCAAGAGCATTAAATATATTATTTAATTGATCAAATACATACAAGTGTGTAAGCATTCAGTCACTGTTGTGGCGTCAACTAAATACCCTCTACAAATTTTACAAGTAATATGGCAATTCAAAGTTTTTAATTTAATAAGTTTTTCCATAATATTACGATCTTTTGTGACAAAATTAAGCTAACGAAAATTAATACAGTAAATAAAAATAACTAGTCAAATTGCTAGATAATAGTTTTACACCAAAAAAAGAGACCTGCACAGTATCACACAAAAAGAATAAAAATGTTATCTTTCCAAGAAGGATAACCAATTTATAATAAGTCATTAAAGTAGCACATTACGCACGGTATTACAAAATTAATTTTGATCTAAATGGATTTATAAGTTGATGATCTTATGTAGTTGGAAATAAGACTTTTTTGGAAGATTCGATACAATTGTACCAACTTTAAAATTTTTTGATAATTATTCACTATGTCTGCTCAAAAAAAACTTTTTAAAACATAGGTTTATAGATATTAATTAAAGTTCTTAATTTAGCTATTTTCGTAAATTTTGGTTAAATTTATCTAATTGTATTTAATAAGTCAAATTAGAACTTATTAAAATTTTACGGTTGTCAACCTGAACTACAAGTTTATTTGTATTTATAATAATGATAACAACAACATTTATGAGGACCATGGTTATACAGACAGGATAAAATATCATTAAAATAAAATATAATTCTGAAGAATATTTTTCAGATAACATATTTTTAATCGGTACTAGGGATAGGATATCGAAAGAAAGTATCGATACTTAGTATTGAAACTAGTATCAAATACAAATATTGATATCAGTAAAATATCGAAACAAATGTATCGATATCAGTAAGTATCGAATCATTTTATAAACCTATATTTCACAGTATCAAATTATACTGTATGGAGTTATGAAATATTGTAATTTTAGGATTCGATTCCTACTGATATCGATACTAATGAATGTTAAAAATATTTGTATAATTAGTACCAATGGGCAATGACTATAGTCATTACTCTGTTATTTCTATTTCTATCCACTAGTAAAAACCAAATATTTGCAATTATATTTAAAAGCCTAAATATACGTAATAAATTTTAAATACAAATTGTCTTTTATTATTTATTATACATTAATTTATACAAAATACTAATAATATTATAATTTATAATTGGTCATTATTAGCCAGTCTTCACATAGGTACATAAAAAAAATACTAATATAAAAAATATAACTAAAACCAATCTTCCTTTGGGATATCAGCTAACAATAATATTTTTTTAAGGCGAGAACTAGTTAAACAATTCCTAAATTTGGTTAATGTTGCTCCAGCCTTTGAAAAAAGTTGTTTGCAAGGAACAAATGTTGTAACCATGGTGAAATGCAAACGGACTTGTTTATACAAAATAGGAAATACGTGTTTCATATCCTCCCATATTTCAAGAGGATCAGACTTCAGGGTTGATACTGGATTTGATAAGTATAACGATAACTCATCGTTCATAAAAGTTGTGGTCTTTTTCTTTTTTTGGCCATGAACCAAATATTTATGATGTGCCCAAAAATCGAAGTTGTCTGTTTTAGAATGTTCTCCTTCTGACTCACTAGAAGAAATGGTGTCCAATTTTGACAACTTTCTTAAATCTGCTATCGCACTTGAACAGGCTTTGAATTGGCTACTGGATCATTAAAATGTAAATTTTTAAATCTTGGGTCCAATTGTAGCAATTGCAATTGGTTTGACCTGTTCAATCATTCCAAATCTTGAAGTCAGTTCAGCATGTAATAAATCTTTAATTTCACAAATTACCTCAAAATATGGTTTAATTTGTGTCAATTGTTTTTGCAAGCAGTTGATCATTGATATGACTTTGGAAATTGTAATGTAATTTTCCCCAGATGATTCTTTCGTCACAAATTCCAATGGTTTTAATAAATCCAACAATTGTTTGAGCGTATCCATTTCAATCGCAGTTGTTATCACAGGAGCAGTATAATCTTTGATTAGTAATGGACTTATTAATGTTACCATCTCTACAAATCTACTGATCATATAAAAAACAGAGTTCCATCGTGTTGGAACATCTAATATTAATTTTTTCATTGACCCTTCTGGAACTCCGTTTTCCGACTGCTTCTTTCTTAAAAGATCACTAACTCTTACGCTATTGTTCACCCACTTTATGATATTTCGAACTTTAGAAATAATAGGTTTAATGTTTTTTGCCCTACTATATGTATTGCAACTAAATTGATGGTATGAACAAAACAAGGAATGTAACGGTGTTTACCAAAAGTTTTGTGAACAGCAGAAACAATATTTGCACCATTGTCAGTCACAATACTTACAATTTTTTCTTGATTTATTTCCCAATCTGATAAAATATTTTCTAACTGTTCACTAATATATTGACTAGTATGCCGCTCTTTTAACTCACTAACTGCCAAACAAAATGATTTCAGAGAAATGTCTTCTAAGAAATGTACGGTTATACCAAGAAACTTTTCTGACATTGTCTCTGTCCATGTATCGAATGTCAGAGATACATGAGGTGAATTTGACAAACGCAATTTTACTGCAGCTATAATAACCTCATACTTATTATCAAGGGCATTTTTTATAGTTTTAACAGAGGGAATTTTGTATGATGGTGCCAATTCTTTAATGAACCGTCTAAATCCTTTTCCTTCTACTACAGAAAATGGACGGTAATCTTTACAAATAAAGTAAAGTAATGCCATAGTTATTTTACGAAAATGATGACCACCTTCTGAAATATAAAAATAAAGTATCGATATTAATAACGTAAACAACAATAAATTATGCTGATAAACATACCTGCATATGAGCTAATTTTTTGAAAAGCTTCAACAATAGGGTGTTTTAGCCGTTGTAGAGCCTGTGGTAGATCGTCTACACATTCCTAAAAATAAATTAATTATTAGATGCAAATCTAAGAATAATTATGTGATAATTTAATTTTGTAAAAATAGTTATGTATTCATCGCTTATCAAAGTATCGATAAACCAGTCCGATGATAACAATTAGTTTATATTTTTAATGTGTATACCCAGTTATTGCCGTACCACAGAAAATTAGATGCCTATTATATAAATACAAATACACAATCACACTATATATATAATTATACAACATATATAATAATTAATAATTATTACCTCTGGCTCAGAATCTTCCATACAAAGCGTTAGTTGCCGCGACTGAGTTTTTGATGAGCAAGGTTCTGGCAATGGCGATACAGAACTACAGAAAATATATAAACATCAGTGTTTGATAGAGTAACATTACTTATAATTGAATCAGTTATATTAAAAACAATATAAGTCATAAAATTGAAATTTTACACAAATTATAAATAACTTAATAATAACTTCATAAATTTACATTTGTTTGTATATTCACTTATACATAAATTTATTTTACGAGTCTGTGATATTCATTATGTATGGTTTTAAATAGTGTATTTTTAACTACATTTATAAAATAATGACATGTTGTTTTTGAAATTACCGATTCAATTTCAATAAAAAATAAATAAACAATTTAATAAGTTACTTACTTTTATGTGAGTGATAGTCAATTTTGACTGTTTGACTATGGATGATTTAGTATTTGTCAAATTTGGATGTTTTTTTAAATGTTTGGATAATTTTGAAGTATTGTCACAATAGCGTACTTTTTGTGAACAATGCTTGCATAATGCAAGAACAGCGTCAATTTTTTAAAAATATATCCAAACTTTGCTCTTTGGAGGAGACATAATTTTTTGAAAAATAATTTAATAAACAAAATATTTAAAAAATGTAAAAAAGGAGCGGTCGTACACGTGCAAATCAATCGAAAATTAATAACGTACAATAGTGTTAATAATGCTTATTATTGTTATTTAGAGCATTCCGTGTATGTCCCCGATTTCATAGTACCTGTCTATATCACAGACTATATGAAAATATATGTATACAGTCTGTGCGACTGTGCCTATACGGCTATACAGAATCTTTGATATTTCTTGCCTTCTCAGTAAACGGGCATTTAATTACACCGATTAGGAAATCTATTATATTATGATTTGTGGACTGTGGTCGGTGGTTCAAAATAGATTGTTCGATACGAGTACTTTTAAACCGTTATGGCGGTAAATGATTCGATACCAATACTTTTTTATCGATACGGGTAAAGTATCAAAACAATTGTATCGATACAAAAAGTACTTATATCGAAAGAAAAGTATCGATACTTTACTCGTATCGGTAGTATCGCAACGTCCCTATTCGGTACTAAAGTTTGTCCATAAACTTTTGCCATTTAAGATATCTAATTTCATCTTGTACTTTAAATATCAATTTACTTTTTGATTTACCATTGAAACGATTTGGAGGCATATTATTAAAAACGGTAGCACAGTGGGGTCGCGGCATAGTAGAGACATTGCATAGTAGGGTCCAGTATAGATTTAATCTGACAGTGNAAATATTATTGGACAAAATAAAATTGTATTACACTACTAATATTTTAGTTTCGATGCGAAGCTGAGTTTAATTTTACTATGATGTGTTATGTTTTTTTGTGTGTCACTACATTGATCCATACATTTTTCAAAAAGTTATAGTAATTTAAANACTTGTACTTTAAATATCAATTTACTTTTTGATTTACCATTGAAACGATTTGGAGGCATATTATTAAAAAAATTAAATATTATTGGACAAAATAAAATTGTATTACACTACTAATATTTTAGTTTCGATGCGAAGCTGAGCTTAATTTTACTATGATGTGTTATGTTTTTTTGTGTGTCACTACATTGATCCATACATTTTTCAAAAAGTTATAGTAATTTAAAGTTGAAAAAAACCCAACACAGTGGGAACGTGGCATAGTTGTGTCCAGTATAGATGATATTTGACAGTGATTAAAATCACTATCATAAAAAACGCTTCAATTCAAATCTGTGAATAATGTTTGATTTTAAGAAGAAATTTTTAAATTATTCCAAAAGCTACATGATCTCCTATTTCATTATTTATATTCTGATTACAAGTTTTATGATTTATAAGTGTAATATATGAATAAATATATAAATTAACAATATAAATATAAATAGTACTTATCTTAAAAAAATTTTAATTATCCATACATTTTTTTAAAAAGTTATAGAAATATAAAGGTAAAAATGTAAAATATAAAATCGAAAATTTTCACACAAAAATAGCATTTTGTAGCCATTTTCACCGTGAAGACAAAATTAAGTTCGGAATATTTTTTTATAATAAAGTATATTACATTAGCTTTAATTTAAGATATATATAAAAGTGTCAGACTTTCCGGAACACTTTCAAAAATTAAGCAGAAAAAGTTAATTTTTTTGTGAAATAGTTGTCATTTTGAATCCCCCCTGTAGGCAAGTAAAGGGTTAGATTTTCAACAATTTATATTAAATGAAAAGGAAACATCTAAGGTTAAAATATCAAAAAAAATTAAGTTGATTTGTTAATCTTGAAAAAGTTATGGTAGTTTTAAGAAAAAAAACCCAACCCAGCAAAGGGGGTTTGCGGCACAGTGGTGACATGGCATAGATGGATCAAGTATAATGATATCTGACAGTGAATAAAATCACTATCAAAAAAAAAAACGCTTCGGTGCAAATCTTTAGATAGTGTTTAATTTTAAAAAATTGGTGGATTATTCCAAAAGCTTCATAATCTGCTAGTTCCTTATTAATATCCTGATTAAGATAAAGTATGTCGAATGAAAAAGGAATTGTTAAAAAATATTATTTCTCATAAAAAAATTATGTTGATCCATACACTTTTCAATATGTCATAGCATTATAAAGTAAAAAATGTAAAATATAAAATCCAGAATTTTCACACAAAAATAGCATTCGGTAGCCGTTTTCACCGTGAAGACAAAATGAAGTCCGAAATTTTTTTCTCCATAAGAAAGTATATTACATTAGCTTTAATTTAAGATATATATAAAAGTGTCAGTATTTCTGGAACACTTTCAAAAGTTCAGTTGAAAAAGTTAATTATTTGTGAAAAAGTTGTCATTTTGAAATCCCCCTATGGGCTGGTAAAGAGTTAAATTTATAAAAAAAATATACCAAATGATAGGTAAAGACATCAAGCATCCAAAAAAAAAAATTATATTGATTTGTTCATTTTTGAAAAAGTTATGGCAGGTTTAAGTAAAAAAAATTTCGAAAATTTCGAAAATCAGCGATTTTTAAATTTGTAATTTTTTTGGGGGAAATTTTTTCAATTTTTGAGGGTAATGTCTTCGACTAGATATAATTTGTGATCTTTTGACGTATCGTTGAGAAAAACCGGTCCAGTGTGAGTTGAGAAAAAGTAGTGACAGACACACACAAAAAAAAAATACACACATCATAATAAAACTAATACCTTCTCAGCTTCGCATCGAAACTAAAAAATCAAAATCCTTTTGTTGTCATCTCTGATTGTCAGTTATGGTGAGATCACGATTTAAGAGCGTATTTCTTTTCCTCATTTTATCACGCGATCTACAAGGGTTATAAATATTAAAGGTTTGTAATATCTATATGCCTTGGGCGATCTCTTGTTTGTTAGCAACATGATTTCATTAATGAATCTACCTATTAAAATGAATAAAATAGAATAGTTCCATTCATTAATGGAACTGTTCTATCTAAATCATTGATAAGGTGTGGTTATCTCAAGTTTTAGCGATATCTAAGATAACTTTATCTCTTCATAGTTTTACAGAAAAGAGATAAAAAGTCAAATTCTCAAATTAAATATATTACTTCAATTCAGTAATGTAATAAAATATTGTAAAATGTTATCGATTTTAAAAGCTTATTATTAAAAAATGTTTACTTTGTAACTCTTAAGATTTATTATTAATAAACTTTCTTAGTATTAATGCATAGTAAAAGAAAAACTTATAAAAAAAATGATGGATGTATTTATTACATAATTTTTTTGATTTCTTATTTCAAAAAATAAGTAAAAAACAATAGATAGTGAAACTTTTAACTCATTTAAAATAGGTTTGTTTTACCTGTAATTAAGTAAATGTATTTACTTAATGTAAATAATTAATGTAATTAATTATCTTTATATTTTGAATTTTAGATTTATCTAATTGGATATTAAAATGGATGATGACAATGTAAATGCTTATAAAATTTTATCTTCATTTAATATGGAGTCTGATGCTGAAATTTCTTCAAAATTGATCAATTTCGAGTACTCATCTACCGAAGATAGTATAATGGAATTGTTAAGTTCTATAAATGGAATTGGTTATGAAATTGATGATAATGTTTTTGCCTTGCCCAGTATGTCTGTTGAAAAACTTGCAGAGAGAAAAACTAAAATTATTAAAAGTCATCATGAGTTAGCTAGAAGATATTTTCATACTTTAACATTTTCTAAAAAATTACAGAAAAAACTCAGTTTGTTGAACCTTTTGTATGATATTATTCATGTGAAATACTACTCCTCAAAAGTAATTTAATGTTTAATTGATTATTCTTTAATGATATTGATATATGTTATTCATATCATTAATGAATTAAAATTAATACAGGAGGATAAAAGTGTTCAACTTTCTATGGTACCACAAAATTCTTTTGAAGAAATTGCCAAACCTTGTTCTAAATTAACAGGATCACAAGTGCTTTTACAAATAGCAGTGAAAACTGGACTTACAATGTTTTTTACATTATTGAAACAAAGTTGGGAAAACAAAAGTACTAATGGTAAAATTTGGTGAAAAAATAATTTAATAAAAAAGTATATAATGTACTATTTATTATAGATATAAGTATGGGCTTAGAAGTGCTCAATACAGCATTAAATGTCATGAGACAATTAAGTCCTTTATCTTTAGGCAGTAAAGCAGAGTTGTCTCAACTTGGTTTGGAATGTTTAGACAATGTTATGCATTTTGTAAAAGAATGTATTAATGCTGATTATATTAAAAATGTTCAAGGTACAAAAATGTTTGTATTTTTTATTTTGATTTTGTTTTTTCAGCTATAATATTTGTTATAAACATACTTTTTTATAAGTTATTGTTTGTTGTAGAGTATATAAAGATTTATTTATTTTACAGTTAAAGAACAACTTGCTGAATTGTCATTGTTATTAGCTTATCAACGTGAATCATTAATTTACTTATTAGAATGGATTGATATGGCATTGAATATAACTTCTGTTTGTTTGCCATTTGATAAACTTTATAATGTATTAGAAGAAATGTCATCAATACTAACGTTTGCTTTAGGGCTAGAGGAAATTGAAAACTATCGATCCATGAATAATATACCATTAAAAGATGTTGCGTTGTTATTAATGAAAAAAGTAAACAAAAAATTTGTTATTTCTTTAACTTGTATCATTTTAATTTAACTTAATATCATATAAACTTGAGTACTGGGTCTCAATTAGAGGATTCATGTGAAAGTCATATTATTAAAAATACAATTTTAGCATAAATTGTAAAAATAAATTATAATCATATACAGAGTGTTTCACGAAATTTTGACGTCTTTTATCATTTTTCATTTAAGTATAATTTCCTTGAAATAATTTTTAAAATAATTATTCCTCTCTTAGACTACACATTCAAAGCATATTTTATATAATTGTTTATAAATCATCTAATTTAGTTTCAGTGCTTATCCATTTTTGTTGCCATAAAGGTAGACATTTTATATTAATGGTTGATTTGATACTTGGATAGTGCATAAAATTGTTATTGCTATATAGTCAGCTTGATACATATATTGTTAGATAGGTTAATAAAAGAAACCTATCATTCAAGTTTGCTAAAATTTTTAACCATATTTAAAAAATGTCCAATTATTAATTTTTAGCAAGTTATTATGAATTAATTAAAATAATTTTTTTTTTATTTAGCTTGTAAATTTTGGTGAAACTTCTGTAGTTCGTACTCCTTTAAATCAAAACTCTGCTGACTTACCTCAGCCAATCAGTGAAGTTTTTATGTGGGGGAGTAATTCCTCAAATCAACATGCTGAAGGTGCAACAGAAGTAACAGATGTACCACGACTTGTTAGATCATTATCAGATGTACAGCACGTTGAAGCTGGGCAATATTGTACATTTATTATTGATACTAAAGGTTGTGTAAGTGCTTGTGGAAAAAACAGTTATGGTCGTCTTGGTTTGGGCAATTCATCTAATCAACCAGTGCCTAAAAGGATTAACATAAACTGTAAAATTAAACAAGTATCTTCTTCCAAAGGTTGTGATGGTCATTCTTTAGCATTGAGTAGTACAGGAGAAGTTTTTAGTTGGGGAGATGGTAGAAATTTTTTTTAGAACTAGTTAAAATAAAGATTATTTTTATTTTTTATTTTCTTAATTAATTTTCAGGAGATTATGGGAAGTTAGGGCATGGGAATGTTACAACTCATAAAGAACCTAAGTTGATTCAAGGACCTTTTATTGGTAAAGTTATAGAACTTGTAAGCGCTGGATACAGACATAGTGCTGCAGTTACTAGTGATGGACAATTATATACTTGGGGTGAAGGAGACCACGGTCGTTTAGGTAATAATAAATTATTTATTTAACATACAAGCAATTCCTTAAAATGTATTCAAATTAGAAAAAATTAAAGATTTTAATATTAGTAAATTATAATTTATTTATTTATTGTGTTTTGTAATTTTAAAATAATTTATTTTAGGTCATGGTGATTGTACTCCACGCCTTATTCCCACACTTGTTAAAAGTCTAAATGATTTGCCAGTTGGTTATGTAGCTTGTGGCTCTACTCATACCTTAGCGTGTTCACGTGATGGTAATACTGTCTGGTCATTTGGTTCAGGTGATAATGGTAAACTTGGACATGGTAATACATTAAGACTTTATAAGCCACAGAAGATTGAAGGTTTAAGACATTATAAAATAAAAAAAGTTGCTGCTGGCATTCATTTTTCAGTTGCACTTACTTGTACTGGTGAAGTAAGTCAAAATACACATTTTTATTAAATTATTTTAGCTAAGAACTATTTTCACGTTCATTAAATAATAAAATTCATAATTAAACAAGTTAATTTCAGGTTCTCATAAAAACCAAAAAGTTTTACTTATAAGCTATAACAAAAATATTTTATAAATTATATTTAATAAAAACATTTTTAAAGATAAATTAAAATGATTATATGAAAAGAAGCATATTATAACTTAGTACAAAAGAATGGTCATATGAATATCTAGTTTTAAGTCTGGTACTTCAAGAAACATTATTTTTTATAAAAATTAAGTATCTTAAAATTCAATACATTTTAATTGAAATATTATTTATGATAAGGTATTTACTTGGGGCCAAGGATCTAATTTAGGATGTGGTTCAGCAGAGATAACATTATTTTCCCCAGCAGTTGTTGAGGATTTAATACAAACTATGATAATTGATATTTCGGTTGGAGATTCACATTGTTTAGCATTAACAAGAAATTGCGAGGTTTGTAATTAATTAACAAAAAATATAAATGTTGAAATAAATACAAGATAGTTTTAGTTTTAGTTTTAGTTATTAGTGAGGTGGACATAATGCCCATGCACTCAGACCTCATACCGAATTGTCTTGATTTGGTTTACACACCTAAGTGTTATTACATTATACCTATCATTATATAAGGGTGGACTAACAAGTCACCCTCTGTAGATGACCAAAGAGTCCAGTCTTTCTGGCGAAATTAAGTATCTCTCTGGGTCTTAGGTTTTTAATATCTTCTTTTTCAGGAAAAGGTTTAATCAAGTAGTTTGATCTTAGTGTGGACAAGGCTTCACATTCGCACATAATGTGAAATGAGTCTTCCTCTTTTTCTCCACATTTCCTGCACAATGATTCAGATACCCCCATTGCGTATAGATGTTTAAGCAAGTGACCATGTTCTGCCAGTAGACTAATCAAAGTGCTTATTTGATGTCTAGTCATGCTATTAAGATCACCCAGTAGTAGACCAGGGGTCTTGATAAATATTTTAGATTGTCTAAGTACTACCAAGTACTTTCAGATTTTCCTGTGTTTTCTTTGCACCAATTCTTGGGTAGAAAGTCAGCATTTTGATTTCCAGTAACACCGTTGTGTCCTGGTACCTTCGCTAGTGTAACTTTATTGAACCTCGATAGTGATTCTAAAGTTTCCCTGCATTTGAAGACAAGTTTGAATTCATCTGATTCTTATAGAGTACTTTCAGAGCTGTTTGAATATCACTTAAGATAGTTATTTTCCTTTTCTTTTATACCAGCAGATTCTAAGCCCCTACCAGTATCACCATCACATCTGCTTGAAAAACAGAGTGTGTTGTGTCCATTGACATGCTGACATTTATTCGAAGCTTTAAGCGATCCCAAATGCCAGCACCTACCTTTCCAAATTTTAAGTAATTTTTTCATACTTAATAAAAAAAACTATCTGTATTCAAAACAAATAAAAGTTCTGTTTTTAGAGATTCTTAAGTTATTTTTTATAAAATTTAAATTTTCTAAGGTATTAATATTAATTGGCAGTCATTTTAAAGAGTTTTAATTGAAAACATTTTTTTTATGGTAATTTTATATTGTGTCCTAAAATTGAATAAAATTCTTAAATAATTTAAATTATCTTGACAACAATTTTTTGTTAATTTGTAAAATTAATAAAAGTTAATTATTCATAATGTAATTTTTTTAAAGGTTTATGCTTGGGGTTCCAATGGTAAAGGACAATGTGGTCAAGGTCATTCAACTAGTCCTGTTAGTCGTCCAAGCAAAGTAATAAATTTAGAAGGAAAACAAATTAATCAAATATCAGCTGGAACTTCCCATAGTGTTGCTTGGACTACATTACCACCTGATAGGTATATACTATTTGTTTTAGATATAATAACTTAAGCTATATTAATAAGAAATTTTTTTATACATAAACTTAATGTCTCTTTGTATTTTGTATAATATTTGGATTAAATAAAACTATTGGTATAAAAAAATAATAATAAGCTCTATGTTCTATTGGTTTATTGTTAATCAACAATATCTTTTAAGGAAAAGATAAATATTTCGTATAAATAACTTTTGTCAGTGCATTTTTTAAATTAGTAAACTAGGTTATACAAATATAGCCCAATGCATATAAATCTAGTTTATTGTTATTTTTATATTTTTCTTGCTAACTGGGTTCACACAAAAAAAAAATACTTATATCATATTTTAATTGGCTATTTATGTTAAAAAAATAATATTTTTGTCACTAAATAAAAATTTGTTAAAAATTTACCATCTTTTTGATATTTTGTTTTGATAATTTATATATTTATATTAGGAATTGAACAGATACAAATTTCATTTAATGATTTCTAAGTTATCAATTATGTACTATTGAAGATTTTCTGTAATCTTAAAAATTAATTTTACTAATTGATTAATTGACAACTTCTATATTATTATTTTTTAGTTTTTAAATTTCTTTTCTTTCTAATATGTTCTATTGTTTTGTTTTTATTTTTAGCTATTTATTAGAAAACTAATTTTGAATGTACTATTGTTATTGAACACTTGTTTTGAGATTAAAATCAGTTTCATTTTAAGATTAAGCTATTATTTTTAAAATGGTTAACAAAATATACACATTTTTTTTTTTTGTACTAGACAAACAAATGTATGGCATAGTCCTTTTTGTATTGATTTACACGAAAGTACATTTAAATGGTTGAGACAATTCATTGAGAAATATTGTGAACAAGTTGAAAATTGTCAAACTTCCCAAAATAAGTAAGAATTTAACATAAAATTAACTTTTACAACACTTAATAATTTATTATTATTAATGATTCATAATGTCTAATTCAATGATAAGTTATACTTTATTTTAAATTGTATTATTTTAAAAACCAACAAAAAAAAATAAACATGTAGAAAAAATTAAAGCCAAATTCATTTAGGTAATTTTTTAAATGCTTATCTTGGGTTCTAAAATTGTAACTCCTAATCAATGTATTCAGGATTTTTCTTTGGAGGGATTAGTTTTTTACTTAAGAGTGTTTAATGGGGTTTTTTTTTATGAGTTTAGTGTACTAATGTTAAGTTATTGGTTTTTATAGCACCATAAGCATAGTTTGGAGGGGACTAAAAAGTTTAGCCAAAGTCAATTATAGTTCCTAAATTTTTTTTTTTAGTTTACAAAAATATCTTTGAGGGAAAAAATTGTAATTAGAACTTCTGAAAAGTTTTCTCCTACATGTATAAAACTGCCAAATTTACCTCTTTTTCTGCACCAAAGTTTTGGTATTTTTGGTGGCCTGAGTGACGTTTTACTTTTAGCTGATAGTAGAGAGGACATAGAGACTGCCCATGCACTAATATCTATTGGTTTATTATGCATAACCCTAACCAAATTTTACTATAATCACTAGTTTTATGTATTGAAATAAAACATACTTGTTAACAAAGTACCCCATTAGTTATGCTAAATCGACATTATAGGTAAAAAAACCATTATAATAGTAAAAATCAATTTATTGTTATATCCATACATTCCTATAAAAAGATAAGAAATAAAGTTAACCACAGCAGTTGTTATTGTAGAATGGTTGTATACTTTGAGGTGCGCATAATATCATAGAGATTTCTAAATGTCACTTCATCTTTCAGTATACTACGCTGTTTACATATCTCTCTTACTTAATATGGTTGGTGGGGGCCCTAATTGCTGTTTGCAATAAGGTATGTCGTCCATGCCTACCAGTCCCAACAAACATTGGCAAATCTAAGGAGTAGTGCTTGTGACCTCTTAAAAAAATATAATGGTTGCAAAAGTATTCTTTACAATCCCCAAAAATATCTAATGACACAAATTAGGAGAAGCACAAACAAAGCAAATAAGGTTAAGTTAGGAACAAAAATAAGTATGAATTATTGTTCCCAAATATCTTTAAAAATTTTTAAAATTATTTCCTTTGCTCAAATATTCTAGTGAAGTGAATATTTTAACTAATTTTTAATTTAATTTAATAAAATTTTTCTTCAGAAAATTAAAAACTATCTTAGTAGCACCAAAGTCTTATAATTGTAACAATTGGCCAACAAGGAATGCTATGGCCCTTTTAACTAAGGGCTCCATCTAACTAACTCCAATAGATTAACTAAGCTATTGGAGGGGTAACAAAAATTTCGATCACTTCACAGTTAAGTTAAAAAAATTTGAGACCTCTAAAATTTTTCCCTAATTACGCCACATCCATAAAATTTTAAATATAATCATATTATAAAATAAAATTTTATCTTCGATGCGAAGCGGAGAAGGTATTAATTTTACTGTGTTTTTTTTTTTTTTTTTTTTTTTTT